CAGCAGCGCTGGACAGAGCTCCAGGAGTGTTGGGCCAACATTCCCAGGGAAAAACTGGGATTGCTGGAGGGTCTGGGCAGGGCCAGGGGTGGGACTGGATGATCCCTGTGGGTCCTTCCCACTCAGGATATTCCAGCTCCCTCATGTGTGGTCCATCACCTCCCCATCAGCCTTGGGGGCTGAGGTTAATAATAGTTAATAAACATTAACTAATGAACTATGTCACATGTGCTGTAATTATAGGATGCAATGAGTGGCTGCATCCTTGGAAGCCAAGACTGGAGCTGGGATCCCTGGGAATTGTGAGGGATTCTCCCCCACACAGAGCATTGCAGAGCTGGAATTGCTGATTGCCAAGAGGAAGAGCAGGGGGGGAAATGTTGGGATCCCTGTTTGGATGTTGGATCCCTTGGGATGCTGCTCAGGGAGCTCTGCCTCCCTCCAGCCCCAGCCTGGGCTGCTTCTGGCAGAAGTCTCACACTAAAAGCTTCCAGTGGTACTAAAATTAAGCTGAGCTTATTTCAGCTGAAGTCTGATGACAAAACTGTCCTGTTGAAGGTTCATTTTTTCATTCTAAGGACCTCAGCAAGCCCAGAGCCCTGAGCTCCCTATTCCAGCAGCCATTTGAGTCACCTCAGAACCTGGGAGAGTTTTGTTTGTTTTCCTTAAAATCCCTTAACAGCTCCTTTCCTGATCACTCAAGGACTGCAGCTTTTGTTTAAACCCACACAGCCTTCACGGGAATAAAAGGAACCCTAAAAGTGCAAACACTGGAAGTTTAGAAGCCAGTTATTAATGTTAAGCCTTTTATTTTGTGTCTTCAACACGGGGTGCTGACGACAAAATGACAATATCAGGAACACAGACCTGTGCAAGGGAGGTACAGCCTGAACCCTGCTTTGGGAAAGAGGAATTTCATGGAACTGGGGAGAAGGATAGACCCTGTGTTCTGCAGGCACCACAGCGACCTGGCTCATTTTTGGGATGGGAATATTTCCAAGAGGTTCCTGAGCAGATCTTCTGGTGTTGAAGAGGCCCTTGGGGACAAGCTTTGGGGTGATGGTGGCACTGGATGATCCTGAAGGGCTCTTCCCACCTGGATGCTTCTGGGATACACCAAGCACTCCACGGCTCTCTATCCTTGCTGCCTCCTCTTCCTCAGGAATGGAACTGAAGTGAATTCTCTTTTCCTCTTTTAAATGTGTTTTTAACCATGAAACCCCTCTGTGACCAAGGAATTCCTGGAGGTGGCACTGAGTGCTCTGGGCTGGGGACAAGGTGGGCATGGGGGCCTGCTGGGACTCCATGGGCTGGGAGGGCTTTTCCAGCCCCAGAATTTCCTGGGATTTTGGGATTCTTTCAGAATTCCAGGCCCCCAGGTGGTTTCTGAAGGAGAAACCGCAGCAAAGCTGAGCTGCTGTCTCCCCCCAGTGTCAGCAGATTTTTCCTGTTCCAGTGGTGCCACGAGGAATTCCCAAGGGTGAAATCACCTGGGAGCTGTGAGAGCACAGCTCCAACTCCCCGTGAACAGCAGGAACAGCCACGCTTCCCTTTGGGAAGGGACAGGACTGGAAAAGTCCTTCTCTTATCCTGGAAATTATTGGATATCCCCATCTCAGGCTCTGGGGTTTTCTGAGCTCTGATGCTCCACTGAAATTTAGGAATGGCCTCAAGCAGGAGGAAGGCAGGGATGGATGGGAGGGTGGGCAGGGGCTGGGATGGAATTCCCAGATTCCCCTGGATCCCTGGCAGTGCCCAAGGCCAGGTTGGACACTGCCTGGGACAGTGGGAGGTGTCCCTGCCATGGCAGGGGTGGCACTGGGTGATCCTTAAAATCCTTTCCACCCCAAAGCACTCTGAGATTCTAAAAATCAGGCTGGAGCAGATTTGAAATCTTTTACCTGCAGAGATTTTTCTGATTTGGCTGCAGAGGCAGGAAGGTGGTCATTGCAGCATTTCTGAGGAGACTCCTCGCAGCTCCTTCCCCCATATTCAGGGGCAAAAATCAAGCATGAATTCCCTTCTTGCACATCTTTGGCAGGGATGATTTTAAGCCAGACTTGATTGCTTTGGGTGCTAAATGGTGCCCAGTGGCTTTGGTGGTAAATGGAGTGTAAAGGGAGATTGTGTCCCTTTGGTTCTGCCCACAAAACAGTAGTTGAAAAGCTTAAAAAAAATTCATCGTTATTATTTTTCTTTCCTAGAAAATCTACTCTGGAGAGCCTAAAAACTCCAGACTGGGGCTAATATCCAAAAATAACCAGTGAGTGCACAGAACCAAGCCAGTGGTGTCAGCAGAGCTGCCAATTCCCCGGGGAGGTTTGGGGGAGTGGTTCCACCAGAATTCCTGGGATTCCTGCAGGGAGGGTGGGCACCAGGCTGCCCTCACTGGCACCACAGAAATCCAATTCAGTTCCCCCCCAGTTCACCTTGGCACACACAGCTGAGTGCTGGGAACAGAGGGGAGCTGCTGGATTCCCTGGGAATTCCTGTGCCTGGCTGCTGGAGCAGGAGATTTCTCCAGGATCCAGCAGGATATTGCAGAGCAGACATTTCTCTGTGCTGGGAATGGCTTTGTGCACTGCTGCTGTTCTCCAGGCTCCAAGGAGACAGCAGGGAAAGGGAGATTTCAACATTCCTGCAGCTCCAGGGAGCTCCCTGAGCACCCCCTGTGCTCCCTGCTCAGCTGAGAGTGGGCTCAGGGCTCCTCCAGGGGATCTCCAGCCTCCTCTTCCCAGTCCACTGGGAAAATTCTGCCTCTCCTTAACTCGCAGAAGGGTTTAGGAAGTGCTTTGGAATGGCCATGGGGATGTGAAGGTGCCTGGGGCACTGCCACACCTGAGCTTTTATTGCTGTGCTTCTCTGTTTCTCTGCTGATGAACCAAAATCTGCTCTGGAGCCAGGCTGGGAGAGCTGGGAATGTTCAACCTGGAGAGGAGAAGCTCCAGGGAGAGCTCAGAGCCCTGCCAGGGCCTGAAGGGGCTCCAGGAGAGCTGCAGAGGGACTGGGGACAGGGATGGAGGGACAGGAGCCAGGGAATGGCTCCCACTGCCAGAGGGCAGGGCTGGGTGGGAGATTGGGAATTGGGAATTGTTCCCTGGCAGGGTGGGCAGGGCTGGGATGGAATTCCCAGATTCCCCTGGATCCCTGGCAGTGCCCAAGGCCAGGTTGGACACTGCCTGGGACAGTGGGAGGTGTCCCTGCCATGGCAGGGGTAGAACAAGGTGATTTTAGACCCAAACCATTCCAGGATTCCATGCCCAAGTTCTCCACTGCACAGGCAGGCACAGCTGCCCCCAGGCTGAGCAGAAAACAGGGAACCAAGGAGATTTCTCAGGATAAAGCTCCTGCCATGAAACTCCTTCTGTGACTCCCATGGAGCCCAGGACTGCCTGGAAAAGCTGCTCTCCTGGGACTGCCCACCTGGTTCCATGCAGACCCCACAGCCTGACCTCGCAGGAAGAAGCTGCAAAGCTGCACTGATCCCTCTTCACTCCCTTCTGCCTCTCCACGAGCTTTGGAGCCTCCCAGGATGAATCCAGAGCATTTTTCTCCTCAATTTTTCCCTCCAGAGTGTTCTCCTCTTCCATCCCAGCCACCTCCTGGCAGCTGATCTTTCCCTGCAGCTCCAGTCCTTTGATAAATAAAGGATAAATAAAAAATAAACCCAAGTGTATTTTTTTAAACAAAGACATTTATTTCATTACATAAATAGAGGCTCAGCTGCTTTGCTGCACATACAAAACCAGAGATAATTTAAGTGTCACCCTGAGGTTACCCATCCTTCTTTTCCAGGAAGGCTTCATCCTCCTGGGAGGGGAATCCAAGTGTCAGGAACCTGCAGGGAGGGGACAGGGCAGTGAGAACAGCAGGCACAAGAGGGAGAGCACAGGGGCACCTTTGGAGCTGTTCCCAGCTCCAGGGGGGAATTCCTCCCTCTTCATCCCAGATTTTAGGAAGGACAGGGTCTCTGCTGGGCAGCTCTGGGGGCTGGGAAGGGAATTTCTGTGGAATCAGAGAGGTTTTAACTCCAAGGGTGGTGTCACCTGCTGGGCACTGAGGTTTTGTGTGATGATCCTGGGGCAGAAATCCCTGGAGCTGTGGGGTTTGGCAAACAATTCCCTGGGATAACTCTGAATCCCAGAATCCCAGACTGCTTTGGGTTAGAGGCATCTCAAAGCTCATCCCATCCACCCCTGCCATGGGCAGGAACATCTCCCATTATCCCAGGCTGCTCCAAGCCCTGCTCAACCTTTCCTTTCCCAGGGAATTGGCCAAAATCTGCCCCAAAGCCAAGTCCTGAATCTGCTGGAGGCAGAAGACTGAAAAACTCCTTTGGTTTTGTTGTTGTTGGGTGTTTTTTGTTGATGTTGTTTTTTTTGTGTGTAAACAGAAAAAAACTTCATTGCCATGGTTATTCCCAGGGTCTCATTTCTAGCCAGAATTCCTAACCCTTGGGAATAAAGGGAATAAAACAGTGGCAAGGTGGAAATAAAATCTAGGAAAGATTTTAAGAACTGGGAAGTGTCTTTAGATGAGAGGGGATGACCTCAGAAAGGGAAGTAAGATTTTATTTCAATAAAGAGCAACATGACATCAAACTCCCACTGAGCTTCCAAAGGACAGGCAGGAATAGAATTCCCATTTTGCTGCAGAACAGGGAGAAGTGAAGCAAACTGTTCCAAAAATGACAAGAAAGGCAGGGAATAGAATCCAAGCACCAGGCAGGACTCGTTCTGCTCATGGACTTGCTCCAGCAATGCAGGGATTACTTCAACTTTGGAAACAGAGGGGAGGAGCTCGGGAATTTCAGAATGAAAATCCCAAATTTAGGGAATTTTGTAATGTTCATTTTGCTCATTCAAGCAGAAAAAGGTGCATTTTTCTCAGTGGTTGATGTTTCATAGCATAACCTGTCCCTTTGGGAATTCCAGGAGTGGAATTTGCCCTTTCCAGCTAAAGCACCCCCAAGCTGTCAATAATTTCACTCATCTAGAAAGGCAGATTATTTTCTCTCTTTATTCTGTGACTTCAGGCCCAGAGCTCTGATTGCAGCACCCTGCCTGGCTGCTTCCCTGCAGTTATTCCCAATTTCTCCCCCTCTTTGTGCATCAGGCCCAAAATCCCAGGCAGATAAAACCAGAGAGGGAATATTGTGCTCAAACACCCTCAGACAGGACAGTGGTTCATTCAAATCCCACAAAGAACTGGAGCAAATCCCAAATATTCCAAGAGCCCAGGTCTAACTGCACATCCCAAATCAATCCCACTGGGATTAACAATGCCATTGTCCAAACTCAGGGATTGGGATCAATTCCACACCTGAGGCACTCTTCACTCATCCTTCTTCTCTGCCTTCAGCTTCTCTTCACGTTCCCTCTTCAGCTTCTCCTCGATTTTCTTGCTCTGGTACATTTTGACTCCAGCAAAGGCCAAGCAAAGGATCAATGTTTTAGCTGCCAAAATGTACATCAGCAGTGGGAAGTACTCCAGAGCCTGGAATGCCAGAGAATCTGTTCAGGCACTTCTGGAACACTGGGACAATTAAAGGTGAATTTATAGGGATGTTCTGCATCTTCCATTCCAATAGTAACGCTCCTCTCCCTCCATGGTTTTTATTTCTGTGGGGAATTAAACCAGGCAGAGCAACAAAGGCAAAAAAAAAATCTCCTTCCCTCAAGTCCTGAACTCATTTTCTCATTTTCCAGCAGTATTTGCACCATCTGGAGCTGGAAAAAGGGAAGAGCTGAGTATCTGAGGGAAATTGTGAAAGTGGAAATGCTGCTGAGCAATTCTCACAAGTGATGGATCCCTGGGGATCAGCTCTCAGGTGGGATCCCCAAAAACACTCCAGGAAATCTTAATTCCTAGCAACTTTGTAAGGAACCTGCTCAGAGATGGAAGGTGTAGATAAATGCCTTTAAACTGGGAGAAAAGTAAAAAATCCAAGGATTGCTGTGCCAGTTTTGAATGCCTGGAATTGCACAGAGTGATTCAATTCTATAAAAACATAAACTTGGAGAGGAAAATCCAATGGAAATGGGTGGTGGGCACTGAGCAGGCTCCCCAGGGATGGGGTGGGGTTGTTGGGGGGTCTTGGGCCAGGCCTTGGACTGGGTGATCCCTGTGGGTCCCTTCCCACCAGGATATTCCACGTTTCTGTCATAATTGTGAACTTGGAATTCCCCCTGTTCCCTCAGGATGTCCCAAAGCTGTCAGGACACATCAAAGCTCTGAACTCAGGCCAAGCCTTGTGTCCCTGCACCAGCAGGAGTTTGGAAAAACACCACCAGGCTCTGTCAATCTCCCCACAGGCACAGAGGCAGCAGCTCTGAGCCCACAGCTCTGCCACACCAGGGCTGGGCTGGGGGAAAGCTTGATTTAATGTGCTCAAATTGTTAATTATAGACTGGATTGGAAGAGATTTCAAAGCTCATCCAGATCCACAGGCAGGGACACTGAGGTTGTAGGAGCCTCAGTGTCCAAACTTGGGCACTGCCAGGGATCCAGGGGCAGCCACAGCTGTGCCCACCCTCATAGTGGGGAAATTTTTCCTAATATCTGATCTAAACCTGTAATTTTTCACTCTGAAGCCATTCCCTGTGTGCTGTCCCTCAATCCCATGGGAATTGTCTCTCTCCAGGTTTCCTGGGGCTCCTCCAGGCCCTGCAAGGCCACCCTGAGCTCAGCCCAAAGCTTCTCCTGTGCAGGGGAACAATCCCAGCTGTGCCAGCCTTTCCTCCCAGCAGAGCTGCTCCATCCCTCTGCTCATCCTGGAGCCTCCTCTGGGCTCTCTGCAGCAGCTCCTGCTCCAACACTGTGGTGCCTGACACAGGACCTTACAGAGCTTTCATGGCCCCAAAATCCCAAAAACACAGTGGAGAAATTCCCCTCCAAAAAAAGCAGCTGGGGGAAGAGCAGCCAGAGAAAAACCTGGAAAGAGGAAAGGAGGAGGAGCAGGGATGAGCAAATCCTGGGGCAAGCACATCTGGCAAGGAAGGAGAACAAGAAATCCCCTGTCCCTGAGAGTGTGGGGTTAAAAATCCTCCCCTGGGGAAGGAACCATCAGAACCCTCCCAACGCAGCCCAGAGGAAAGAGCAGCAATCCCTGCTTTGGGAATGTGCCTCACCTTCCAGTTGAAGGCCACCATCTCAGCTGTGGGGTGCCCCAGCACTGAGGGGGTCACACTCCTGGAGGCACAGGGCAGGGCAGGAGCATCTTGGGGACAAGGAAAATAAAGCAGAATTAACTCTTGAAGGAATGGAAAACAAAGCAGAATTAACTCTTGGAGAAATTGAAAATAAAGCAGAATGAACTCTTGAAGGAATGGAAAACACAGCAGAATTAACCCTTGGAGACATGGAAAATAAAGCAGAATTAACTCTTGGAGAAGTAGAAAACACAGCAGAATTAACTCTTGGAGAAATGGAAAACAAAGCAGAATTAACTCTTGAAGGAATGGAAAACACAACAGAATTAACCCTTGGAGACATGGAAAATAAAGCAGAATTAACTCTTGAAGGAATGGAAAATAAAGCAGAATTAACTCTTGGAGAAATGGAAAATAAAGCAGAATTATCTCTTGGAGAAATGGAAAATAAAGCAGAATTAACTCTTGAAGAAATGGATAATAAAGCAGAATGAACTCTTGGAGAAATAGAAAATAAAGCAGAATTAACTCTTGAAGGAATGGAAAACACAGTAGAATTAACTCTTGGAGAAATGGAAAACACAGCAGAATTAACTCTTGAAAGAATGGAAAACAAAGCAGAATTAACTCTTGGAGAAATGGAAAATAAAGCAGAATTAACTCTTGAAGGAATGGAAAACAAAGCAGTATTAACCCTTGGAGAAATGGAAAACACAGCAGTATTAACTCTTGAAGAAATGGAAAACAAAGCAGAATTAACTCGTGGAGAAATGGAAAATAATGCAGAATTAACTCTTGAAGGAATGGAAAACACAGCAGAATTAACTCTTGGAGAAATGAAAAATAAAGCAGAATTAACTCTTGGAGACATGGAAAACACAGCAGAATTAACTCTTGGAGAAATGGAAAATAAAGGAGAATTAACTCTTGGAGAAATGGAAAATAAAGCAGAATTAACTCTTGGAGAAATGGAAAACAAAGCAGAATTAACTCTTGGAGAAATGGAAAATAAAGCAGAATTAACTCTTGAAGGAATGGAAAATAAAGCAGAATGAACTCCTGGAGAAATGGAAAATAAAGCAGAATTAACTCTTGGAGAAATGGAAAACAAAGCAGAATTAACTAGTGGAGAAATGGAAAATAAAGCAGAATGAACTCGTGGAGGAATGGAAGATAAAGCAGAATTAACTAGTGGAGGAATAGAAAATAAAGCAGAATGACTTCCTGGAGAAACAGATATTCAAAGAGAATATCTCAGTTCTGTGATTGATTAATTTAATTCTCCACACTAACAGTTTATAAATATAGAGGTTGGCAAAGCAAGCACTCCCTGGAGCCCTGAGTGGTCACCAGGCATTCCAGAGCTGAACTCCTGGGATGAAAAGCCTGCAGCACTCTCAGCACTGCCCTGGGCTCTGTGCTCAGCTGCTGGAATCCAAATTAACCTCTGGAGGGTTTCCTGTCCATGGAACAAGAGTGGAAAAGCAGGAGGGAACACTCATGCACTGTGAAAACTGGGCTGAATAAATCAGCACCACACCAGAGAGCAGAGCTGAGCTCCCTGCAGAAATTAAATGTTCTTGCAGCTCCTGTCCTGCTCAGTTTCTGGGTAGGTTTTCTAATTTCTCCAGCCAGAGCATCCTCTCCTTTTCCCTCTCACCCTGCTGAGACACCTGTGGAAACATTCCCACCCCTCCAGAGTGACCAAACCCAGCTGTACCAAAGCCCTGGAGTGGCAGCCACCACCACATTCCTGTTCCTCAGCCACTGTTTCTGTGCTGATCCTGATTGTGCAGCTCCTCCTCCTGCTGAGAAAATGTCAGGGTGGTTGTGAACGGAGTCGGTGTTGTCACATCTCCAAGAAAATGTATCTTCACTTCATGGAATCATGGAATGGTCTGGGTTGGAAGGACCTTGGAGATCATTCCTTGGAGATCATCCCCTGCCATGGCAGGGACAGCTCCCACTGCCCCAGGTCAGTGTCCAACCTGGCCTTGGGCACTGCCAGGGATCCAGGGGACCTCTTTCCATGTTTCTTGCAATGCCAGGATGTTTCCCAGAGCTGACACATGTGGTGTTCTGTCCCCACAATGTCCTGTGTAGCTGGGACTGGGTGGGAAGGTCACTGCTCCCTCCAGGCTGGGTTCCCACATCCCACCAGCCTCCGTGGCCAAGCACTTCTCCCCATCCCATCTCTTGGCTTTTCCAGCCTCCAGCTGATCCCAGCCCTTATGAAACCTCAGGATTGAAAAAAGCAGGTGAAGCTGCAGCACAGGGCAGGGAAAACAAAGTGGGAAGAAGGGAGAAGTGGGGAAAGGGGAAGATTTTGGGCAGCTGGGGCTGCCCCTGTATCCCTGGCAGTGCCCAAGGCCAGGTTGGACACTGGGGCTTGGAGCAGCCTGGGACAGTGGGAGGTGTCCCTGCCATGGAGGCTGGATGGGCTTTTAAATCCCTTCCAATCCAAACCATTCCAGGATTCTATTATTCCCTTCACACCTGAAAACCACCACTTATGAGCACTGAGGTCATCAGTGCAAGAGCAAAAAGCTCCAGCATTGCTTTTTTTCAAGGCTGGGATATCTTAAATCAACAGCTGGAATTGTGTGCTCGCCTTTCCCGAGGAGATAAGGCACAGCCAGGAGCAGGGAACACATCCACAGGCAGGCATTGTTCCCTGCCCAGGAAAATGCAGGCAAACACAGCCCCTGGGCCCCACACAAGGGCACCTGCCAGGAGCTCCCTGCTCCTCGTGGGCAGGGACAGGAGCAGGGACAGGAGCAGCAGGCTCTGCCACACATCCCCTGAGAGATAAAACAGCAGCAGGCTGACAGGGATCCTCAGGCACTGCCAGGTGTCAGAACCCGGGCCTGGTTCAGGGGTTCTGTGTGGTGGAAAAGTCTCTCCTCCAACCCAAACTTCCAAAGAAAACTCAGCAGTCTCTTGTTGTTTGGTCTCAAGGCAGTTTTTTGCATGTTACCTAAAAGATTTTCTTCTGGAGCTGCTGTGGTTTGCTCACAGCTCAGGCAGAGGCACACACACACCCTGACTTCCTCTCTGACTCTTCTCTCCCTTTCTGGGGCTGAGAGGCAGGAGCAGGACAGGGCTTGGAGAGCCCAGGAGCTGGGGCTGGAATTCCACCCCCCTGAGCTGCCCATGGAAACCTCATCTGCCTTTGGGAGCTGGAGCTGGGTGTGCCCCCCCTGGGGCCTGAGGGACACACAGGAGCTGCCCTGGGGGTTCTTTCAGGGTTTCCAAGCCCACCTGCTCTGTTTGGAGCTGAACATCTAATTAATCTTCTAATATCTCAGTTCTGTGATTGATTAATTTAATTCTCCACACTAACAGTTTATAAATATAGAGGTTAGCAAAACAAGCACTCCCTGGAGCCCTGAGTGGTCACCAAGCATTCCAGAGCTGAACTCCTGGGATGAAAAGCCTGCAGCACACTCAGCACTGCCCTGGGCTCTGTGCTCAGCTGCTGGAATCCAAATTAACCTCTGGAGGGTTTCCTGTCCATGGAACAAGAGTGGAAAAGCAGGAGGGAACTTTTATATGGTACATTACGTGTTACATGTTAATAGTTTTTCCCCAATACCTACTACCTATATTAAATGATGTTCTTCTACTCTAAACCAATCCATAAGTGCCAGCATCACCAAGAACATGGAGGCAAGGAAGAAGAAAGAGGAGGAACAGGACTGTCCTACATTCCTCCTTTTTAAAACCTCTGACCCCCATGTACAAAGTAAAAACCCCCCTGTACAGGTGCTAAAACCCCCCTGTACAACGCTAAAAAATTCTTCCCTTTACTTTGTAACTACTTCTACTATAATATCTAAACTTTTGTGACTTCTTGTTCTCCCTGCAAGGTTGGTAACTCATTCCATGGCTCAAACCCCAAATCACAGCTGTTTCCAGCTGCCTGCCAGGGTCTCAAATGCTTCTGACCTGGGCCTGGAACCTCCAAAAATGTCTGAGGGACATTTTGAGTTCCAGCACCCTGGAGTTTTATTCCTTTACAAATGGGATGTGCTCATGAACACAGCCACCCCACAGTGGCTGCCCCAGGCCAGGCTGGATGGGGCAGGGAGCAGCCTGGCACAGTGGGAGGTGTCCCTGCCCATGGCACTGGATTGGCTTTGAGGTCACTCCCAACCCAAACCATGCTGGGATTTTGTGATTCTGGGCTCTGTGTGCAGCCTTGCCCCAGGGAATTCTGTCTGGGGAAGCAGCTCAGACTCCTGCAGATGGGAAAGAGGAGAGGGTCTGGCCAGATCCCACCTCAGGGCTGTGCCAGCAGTTCCCTGTGAACCCCAAATCCTCTGGGATCCTCTGCAGGCACAGCAGGCTCATCCCAGAGGGTCGTGTCCCTCGGGGAGAGCTGCAGCACATCCCAGAGCTTGGGATTAGCCCCGATTCCAGCCCCAGGATTCTGCCTTGTGCAGCACAGCCCCACAGCTGAGCCCAGGCACGTGGGAGGCCTGTGGTGAGCAGGGAATTGAGAACTGAATCCAGCCCTGGGTTGCAGCTCCAGCCCAGCCCAGGCTCTCAGGCCATTGTCTGCTGTCAGAGCACAGACAGCCCAAGGCACCACAGAACATCCACAGAACTCCATCATTCCCACAAAATGGGGATGGAGATATTCCTCTGGGGATTGATGAGCAACTGCAGCCACGAGGCCGTGGAAAGCACTGAGTTACCTGAGTGCACTTCAATGTGACATTTCTGAGCTAGAAAAGGGGTGTCACTCACCCAGGCCAGGCTGGACGGGGCTCTGAGCAACCTGGAAGGTGTCCCTGCTCATGGCAGGGCTTGGAATGAGATGATCTGTAAGGTCCTTTCCAACCCAAACTTGATTCTGATCTTGGATCAACTCAAGTGACATCAAAACAATTTAAAAAACCATCAAGATCTTCGTACCTGATGAAGCAGAAATTAAAATATGAGTGATTCCTCTGGCAGCTCCTCATATGCTCCAAACTCTGGAAAACAGGAACAGAGCAGATGGGATGTTTCATTCACATTGGCTGGACCAAAATCAAACCAAACCCAGAAATGCCAGGGGCACATCAGACTGTTCCACCATGGCATCACCAGGGATCACAAAGATGATCCCAAAATTTGAGGCCCTCTGCTCTGCAAACAGGCTGGGAGAACTGGGATTGCCCAGCCTGGAGGAAGGACAATTCCGGGGAGACCTTAGGACCCCTTCCAGTGCTAAAAAGGAGTGAGAGGGACTTTTTATATGGGCAGAGAGTGCCAAGACAAGGAGCAATGGTTTTGAACTGCCAGAGGGCAGGGCTGGATGGGATATTGAGAAGGAATTGTGCCCTGGGAGGGTGCCCAGAGCAGCTGTGGCTGCCCCTGGATCCCAGCCCAACTCTGCCCTGGGCTGGAGCAGAAGGAAGGGACTGGGAAACAAGAATGGAGGGTGGAAAGCAATAAAAGCGAGGGGTGGAGAGCAAGGAAAGGGGATGGAGAGCAAAGAAGCGGGGGCTGAAGAGAAAGGAGAGGGTACTGGAAAACAAGAAATGGGGACTGGAGAACAAGAAATGGGTGCTGGAGAGCAAGAGGAGAATAAGGAGGGGGGGCTGAAGGGAAAGAAGGGGAGTGGAAAACAAGAAATGGGGACTGCAGAACAAGAAATGGGTGCTGGAGAACAAGAAATGGGGACTGCAAAACAAGAAATGGGTGCTGGAGAACAAGAAATGGGTGCTGGAGAACAAGAAATGGGTGCTGGAGAGTAAGGGGAGAATAAGGAGGGGGGGGCTGAAGGGAAAGGAGGGGAGTGGAGAACAAGGAATGGGGACTGGAGAACAAGAAATGGGGACTGGAGAACAAGAAATGGGGACTGGAGAACAAGAAATGGGTGCTGGAGAGTAAGAGGAGATTAAGGAAGGGGGGGCTGAAGGGAAAGGAGGGGAGTGGAAAACAAGAAATGGGGACTGGAGAACAAGAAATGGGGACTGGAAAACAAGAAATGGGGACTGGAGAACAAGAAATGGGGACTGGAGAGTAAGAGGAGAATAAGGAGGTGGGGCTGAAGGGAAAGGAGGGGAGTGGAGAACAAGGAATGGGGACTGGAAAACAAGACATCAGTCCTGGAGAGTAAGGGGAGAATAAGGAGTGGAGGCTGAAGGGAAAGGATGGGGTACTGGAAAACAAGGAATGGGGGCTGGAGAACAAGAAATGGGTGCTGGAGAACAAGAAATGGGGACTGGAGAGTAAGAGGAGAATAAGGAGGGGGGCTGAAGGGAAAGGATGGGGTACTGGAGAACAAGAAATGGGTTGTGGAGAACGAGAAATGAGTGCTGGAGAGTAAGAGGAGAATAAGGGGGGGGCTGAAGGGAAAGGAGGGGGACTGGAGAACAAGAAATGGGGACTGGAGAACAACAAATGGGGACTTGAAAACAAGAAATTGGTGCTGGAGAACAAGGAATGGCTGCTGGAGAGTAAGAGGAGAATAAGGAAGGGGAGCTGAAGGGAAAGGAGGGGTACTGGAGAACAAGAAATGGGGACTGGAGAGTAAGAGGAGAATAAGGAGTAGAGGCTGAAGGGAAAGGATGGGGTACTGGAGAACAAGAAATGGGGGCTGGAGAACAAGAAATGGGTGCTGGAGAGTAAGGGGAGAATAAGGGGCGGGGGGGCTGAAGGGAAAGGAGGGGTACTGGAAAACAAGGAATGGGGGCTGGAGAGTAAGGGGAGAATAAGGAGTTGGGGGCTGAAGGAAAAGGAGGGGAGTGGAAAACAAGAAATGGGGACTACAGAACAAGAAATGGGGACTGCAAAACAAGAAATGGGTGCTGGAGAACAAGAAATGGGTGCTGGAGAGTAAGAGGAGAATAAGGAGGGGGGACTGAAGGGAAAGAGGAGGGGAGTGGAGAACAAGGAATGGGGACTGGAAAACAAGAAATCAGTCCTGGAGAGTAAGAGGAGAGTAAGGAGTAGAGGCTGAAGGGAAAGGTTGGGGTGCTGGAGAACAAGAAATGGGGACTGGAGAGTAAGAGGAGAATAAGGAAGGGGGGGCTGAAGGAAAAGGAGGGGAGTGGAAAACAAGAAATGGGGACTACAGAACAAGAAATGGGGACTGCAAAACAAGAAATGGGTGCTGGAGAGTAAGAGGAAAATAAGGAGTTGGGGGTTGAAGGGAAAGGAGGGGAGTGGAGAGCACGAATAGAGGGCCTGGATAGGAAGGAAGGTGATGAAGAACTACGAAAGGGAGCTGGCGAACATGGAGGGAAAGGTGGATATCAAGTAAAGGGCTGGCAAACAACGGTGGGGGGACTGGAGAGCAAAGAGGGGGCTGGAGATGGAGGAAAGAGGGACTGGAGAGCAAAGAGGGGGCTGGAGATGGAGGAAAGAGGGACTGGAGAGAGGGAAAGGGGGGGTGGAGAGAAAGGACGAGGCCTGGAGAGCAAGAAGAGGGGGCAGAGAAGGGGCAGGGCAGGACAGGGCAGGGCAGAGAAGGACAGACAGGACAGGGAAGGACAGACAGACAGGACAGGGAAGGACAGAAGAGGGCAGGACAGACAGGCAGGACAGACAGGGCAGGGCCGGCAGCGGGGAGCGGAGCGCTCGGGGCCGGCGGCGATGCGGGTCCGCCGGAGCCCGTGAGGCCGTGAGGGGAAGAAAGGAGGGAAAGAAAGATGGAATGAAGGAAGGAAGGAAGGAAGGAAGGAATGAAGGAAATAAGGAAGGAAATAAGGAAGAAAGGCCCGGGCCGCTCCTACCTCCGCGCGGCCATGGCGGGCGGGGCGGCGCTCCCTCAGGAGCTCCCGGCAGCGGCAGCGGCCGGGGCGGAGCTGAGGGGGGCTCAGCTTTCCGAACCCAAAATTATCATTTCTGCCCTAAAACAGCTGCCGCAAGGACCGCGGCGAGGTGGCAGATACCCCGTGCCCAGCTGGGAATCAGGAGAGGGATTGGGATTTTGGGGATATTGGGGACAGCACACGGGGAATGGCTTCAGAGTGAGAAATTACAGGTTTGCATCAGATATTAGGAGAAATTTCCTCCCTGTGATGGTGGGCACAGCTGGGGCTGCCCCTGGATCCCTGGCAGTGCCCAAGGCCAGGTTGGATTTGGGGCTGGAGCAGCCTGGGACAGTGGGAGGTGTCCAACCTGGCCTTAAACATTTCCAGAAATGAGGAGTCCACATCTTCTCTGGGCATCCTCTGCCAGGCCTCACCACCCTCACACTAATGAATTTCTTCCTAACATCTGACATAAACCTGCCCTCCTTCAATTTAAGGCCATATTTCTTTGTCTTATCCATACAAAGGCTCTCCTGGAGCCCCTTCAGGCCCTGGCAGGGCTCTGAGCTCTCCCTGGAGCTTCTCCTCTCCAGGTTGAACATTTCCAGCTCTCCCATCCTGGCTCAGAGATGCTCTGTGAAACAGCTCTGTGACCTCCTCTGGACTCTCCAGCAGCTCCACCTTCTTCTGGAGTTGAGCTGAGGTCTCACAGGAGCAGAGTAGAAGACAATCCCTTCCCTCAGCCTGCTGCTGGTTGTGCTTCTTCTGCACCTCCAGCACATCTGGAGCGTGATGGGATCAGCTCAGATCTCAAGACCTGTGTCCAAGGCAAGCCAAAGGCTCCCAAAGAAAAGAAGCCCTTTGTAATTTATTATTTAACATGAGCAAAAATAGGAATCAGGTCGCTAAAAAGGAGTTGGGAGTGAGTGCGGGCAGGTATCAGGTCCCTCCTGTGATTCATTCCCTAACTGCTTCTTCAGTCAATCCGTGGAGATTGCACATTTCACTGGACATTATGAATTTAAGTCACACAGTTTGGATCTAATTTGGCACTTTTGACCACTAACTCACAGTTATTCAGAGGTGGGAACATCCAGATCTGCTTGTGGATTTAAAAAAATGCTCAGATAATCAAGTTATCCTTGTCTCGGCTTTATTTTCTCAAAGGGAAGCACAATCACAGATTTTTCCTGGACTTTCCCAAGATCCTCACGAGAACCATCACATTGATTTCCTGAGGACTCCATTATCCATTGACCTGTGTGTAAATTTAATCAACACTTGCACAGCTCTTTGCACTTCCAGCGAGTTCCCTCTGTGTGACTCCGTGAATCCCTCACTGCTGCTGTTCCCAGAAAGTCAGGGTGACTCCGGGCTTGTTTTCTCCCTTGCCCCCAGGTTCTCATGGATCACACACTTGAGATCTTCTGGGTTCAGAACCTGACTTTTGTACTTCTCCCCCCAGTCCTCCACGATGTACTGGTGATAGGGATCATTGGAGTGCTCCCTCCTCTTGGATTTCACAGTGCTCACCAGGATGGCCACGATGATGAAGGAGAACATCCCAATCATCACCATCAGGTACAGGATGACGTAGTCAAAGTTTTCAGCAGCCACCTCAGCCTGCAGTTTATTCGCTGCTTCCGTCATGTTCCTCCTCCAGCTGTTCATGTAATTGAGGAAGGTTTCCTTGAAAATATCTTCCACTGCCCAAGTGAAGTTTTGCAGCTTGGTCATCCTTGCTAATTATGCTGCTAAAGACAAGAAAATATTATTTTTTTAATCAGATGTCTGTATTAAAAGAGTTGGTTTGGAGTATTTTGTCAGTGTTATGTCAATTATCTATCTGCACTTGAAGGTGCAGCTTTAGCTCAGCTGAGAATACCCATCTCTGGGTGGTTCAGTATGTTCAGAGACCCAAGAAGGTTCTACTCAGAATCCTGAGTAGAATAATTTGGGCTGAAGGGACCTTAAAGATCATCCACTGAGACCCTTGCCAAGGCAGGGACACCTCCCACTGCCCCAGGCTGCTCCAGCCCCAGTGTCCAACCTGGCCTTGGGCACTGCCAGGGATCCAGGGGAATCTGGGAATTCCATCCCAGCCCCCCATTTCCATCACAGGGAACAATTCCTTCCTAATATCCAAAATAAGCATTCCTTCTATCAGTCTGAAGCCATTCCCTGTGTGCTGTGGACCATTTGGGACAGTCCCCAAAGGGGAGGAGACACTGCCTGGTACTGCAAAGCTGTGTTTGATCCCATTTATCCCAAAATTCAGACCCCATGAACCAGGTGTGTGTCCCACAGGAGGAAAACCCCCCTCCAGCATTCCTTCTCACACAGATCCCATTCCCACAGGATCCCATTCCCACCTGATCCCATTCCCACCAGATCCCATTCCCACCAAATCCCATTCCCACCCAAAACTCGCTCATTCCCACCAGATCCCATTCCCACACAGATCCCATTCCCATTCCCACCAGATCCCATTCCCACACAGATCCCATTCCCATTCCCACACAGATCCCATTCCCACACAGATCCCATTCCCATTCCCACACAGATCCCATTCCCATTCCCACACAGATCCCATTCCCATTCCCACACAGATCCCATTCCCACACAGATCCCGATCCCATTCCCATTCCCACACAGATCCCATTCCCATTCCCACACAGATCCCATTCCCACACAGATCCCATTCCCATTCCCACACAGATCCCATTCCCATTCCCACACTGATCCCATTCCCATTCCCACACAGATCCCATTCCCACACAGATCCCATTCCCATTCCCACACTGATCCCATTCCCATTCCCACACAGATCCCATTCCCACACTGATCCCATTCCCATTCCCACACAGATCCCATTCCCACACAGATCCCGATCCCATTCCCATTCCCACACAGATCCCATTCCAACCAGATCCCATTCCCACACAGATCCCATTCCCATTTCCACACAGATCCCATTTTCACACAGATCTCATTCCCACACAATCCCATTCCCACACATATCCCATTCCCACACAGATTCCATTCCCACACAGATCCCATTCCCATTCCCATGAAATCCCATTCCCACCTGATCCCATTCCCACCAGATCCCATTTCCACCAAATCCCATTCCCACCCAAAACTCACTCATTCACACCAGATCCCATTCCCACACAGATCCCATTCCCACACAGATCCCATTCCCATTCCCACACAGATCCCATTCCCACACAGATCCCATTCCTACCAGATCCCATTCCCACGCAATCCTCTTCCTATTCCCACCAGATCCTATTCCCACCTTATCCCATTCCCACACAGATCCCATTCCCACACAGATCCCATTCCCACCAGATCCTGTTCCCACACAATTCCATTCCTACACGATCCCATTCCCATTCCCACACAGGTCACCTTCCCACATAATCCCATTCCTACCAGATCCCATTCCCACACGATCCCATTCCTATTCCCACCAGATCCTATTCCCATTCCCATTCCCACACAGATCTCATTCCCACACAATCCCATTCCCACACAGATCCCATTCCTACCAGATCCCATTCCCACACAGATCCCATTCCCACCCAATCCCATTCCCACACAGATCCCATTCCCACACAGATCCCATTCCTACCAGATCCCATTCCCACACGATCCCCTTCCTATTCCCACCAGATCCTATTCCCACCAGATCCCATTCCCACACAGATCCCATTCCCATTCCCACACAGATCCCATTCCCACACAGATCCCATTCCCACACAGATCCCATTCCCATTCCCACAGGATCCCATTCCCATTCCCACACAGATCCCATTCCCACCAGATCCCATTCCCACACAGATCCCATTTCCACACAGATCCAATTCCCACACAGATCTCATTCCCACACAATCCCATTCCCACACAGATCCCATTCCCACACAGATCCCATTCCCACCAGATCCCATTCCCACACAGATCCCATTCCCATTCCCACAGGATCCCATTCCCACCCAGTCTGTCCCACTTTAATGTGGGCAATTCCTTCAGCTCTCCAGGCTAACCAAGCCCTAAAACCTGTGGGAATCTTCCCCCAAAATCCCTTTGTTCCCAGTCCAATCCTCAAGAACGAGGAGCTGGCTGCATGCAAGGGGAAGAGGCAGTGAATTTTCATTGCTAATAAAAAATTTGGGATAACTACCAGTTCAGGAATTCAGGAATTCAGCCTTGTGTGCACACAGGGATTCAGGTGCACGTGCAGGTGGATCCCTTTGCAGTTAAACCCTCACTCATGCTCAAATATAAGTGATAAAGGTCATTAATGAAACTAAATGAGAAAATGTAAATGCAAACTGCCTTCACTGTCTGTAAAACCTGCTTTTCCCTTGATTTGCCTCAAAAATTTGCATTTTTCGTGAGGAAATAGATTTGTAACAGCATCTTACCTTTGCTGTGTTCTTCCCTGAGGAGATTCAGAACACTCAGGATTTTCCAACTCCACTGGATAATGGGATGAAACTCCCCAAAAGAGCAGGAATGTTCTAAGGAGCCTGCACAAGGCTGGGAGCAGTTGCCTGTGCAATAAGTGCCTTGCACTGCACGCCTTATGTTTATATTAAATTAAAAGCTGAATCTAATCTCACCTGGAAAGTCAAATATTGGCTGACAGCTTGCATCAGTCATCCTGTCGGATCTGGGATTGAGCCTTTGAGCTGATTGCTGCAAGTTTAGAGATTGGAAAAGAGCTTTCCTGGGGATAAGCAGGGCTACAACTCCATTTCTGGTGAGCCAGAAGAGTAAAGACGAGCTCTGTAAAATAATAATAATATTGTTAAGAATTGTTAGAGAGGAATTCTTGGCTGTGAGGGTGGGCAGGCCCTGGCACAGGTGCCCAGAGCAGCTGGGGCTGCCCCTGGATCCCTGGCAGTGCCCAAGGCCAGGATGGGGCTTGGAACAACCTGGGACAGTGAGATGGGATGATCTTTAAGGTCCCTTCCAACCTGAATCCTTCCATGTTTCTATGAATAAACCAGTAGCACCAGCAGAGATAAGAACAATCATTTCCTTTGCTGATCTGGGCACAAGGGGTGAGCACTGAGCAGTCAGGCTGCTCAACATCCAAAGTTTTCCTTTCCTTTCCTTTCCTTTCCTTTCCTTTCCTTTCCTTTCCTTTCCTTTCCTTTCCTTTCCTTTCCTTTCCTTTCCTTTCCTTTCCTTTCCTTTCCTTTCCTTTCCTTTCCTTTCCTTTCCTTTCCTTTCCTTTCCTTTTCCTTTCCTTTCCTTTCCTTTCCTTTCCTTCCTTTCCTTTCCTTTCCTTTCCTTTCCTTTCCTTTCCTTTCCTTTCCTTTCCTTTTCCTTTCCTTTCCTTTCCTTTCCTTTCCTTTCCTTTCCTTTCCTTTTCCTTTCCTTTCCTTTCCTTTCCTTTCCTTTCCTTTTCCTTTCCTTTCCTTCCTTCCTTTCCTTTTCCTTTCCTTTTCCTTTCCTTTCCTTTCCTTTCCTTTCCTTTCCTTTCCTTCCTTTCCTTTCCTTTCCTTTCCTTTCCTTTCCTTTCCTTCCTTTCCTTTCCTTTCCTTTCCTTTCCTTTCCTTTCCTCCTTTCCTTTCCTTTCCTTTCCTTTCCTTTCCTTTCCTTTCCTTTCCTTTCCTTCCTTCCTTTCCTTTCCTTTCCTTTCCTTTCCTTTCCTTCCTTTCCTTCCTTTCCTTTCCTTTCCTTTCCTTTCCTTCCTTTCCTTTCCTTTCCTTTCCTTTCCTTTCCTTTCCTTTCCTTTCCTTCCTTCCTTTCCTTTCCTTTCCTTTCCTTCCTTTCCTTTCCTTTCCTTTCCTTTCCTTTCCTTTCCTTTCCTTCCTTTCCTTTCCTTTCCTTTCCTTTCCTTTCCTTTCCTTTCCTTTCCTTCCTTCCCTTCCCTTCCCTTCCCTTCCCTTCCCTTCCCTTCCCTTCCCTTCCTTCCCTTCCCTTCCCTTCCCTTCCCTTCCCTTCCCTTCCCTTCCCTATTCCCATTCCCATTCCCATTTTTCCTTTCCCCTTTTCCCTTCCCCTTCCCACCCCTTTTTCTTTTTCTTTTTCTTTTTCTTTTTCTTTTTCTTTTTCTTTTTCTTTTTCTTTTTCTTTTTCTTTTTCTTTTTCTTTTTCCTTTTCCTTTTCCTTTTCCTTTTCCCAGTTTCCTTTTCCTTTTCCTTTTCCTTTTCCCAGTTTCCTTTTCCTTTTCCTTCTTTTTCTCCCCTCAGGATCAGGTGAGCACCACGTCCATATCCTTGCTGCAGAAGTAAATCCTCAGAGCTCTGCTCTGTGGGCACCTCACGCATGAGCTGGAGCAGGAAAAGACAAAAAACTCCCAGAAAACCACACCAAAAGAGTTAAAAAAAAATAAAAAAAAGGAGAATGGAGTGCTGAGGATTTTGCTCAGGGAAATGAGACCACGTTGGGACATCCAAGGAGGGGGATCGTGGTGGGATTGAGGTGCAAAATGCCAGACCCAGTGTCCCCCTGAAGGTCACTTAGCTCAGGGTTTGTTGGGTGTGGAGAGCAGTGAGGTGCTCAAGGACAGACAGGGTGGGAAGGATTAAACAGGAGCAGGAGCAGACACAAGTGTGGTTTCCTTAAAAAAAAAAGGATAAAAATTTCATTAAAAATAATTTATGCATCCATTTATGTCATTAACCCAGTGGTTTATGATTGGTATCACTGATATCTGTAATGATTTTAAGAAAATTAAACGATATTTTATAAATTAGGGTGACAGGAGGATTTGGAAATTTAAAATATATCTTGAATTTCCTCCTCAAGGAATAAAGAAAGTGTATTCCAAGAAATCAGCAAAATCAGGAAGTTTAGAAAACGGAAAAGTGTTTGCAAAATTTTTTTTTTGGGGTACTATTATTTATAGTCTTTATCTTTTACAGCAATACTTTGCATAAAATAATTACATTTTAAATCATTTTTAGTTCTGAGGGAAGAACTGAGCATCCAGCAGGGCTGACCTTGGTGGGACTGAGCCATGGAAAATCCTGAGTGGGAATTGAACTATGGATATCCTGAGTGGGAACTGAACCATGGAATACCCTGAGTGGGAATTGAACTATGGAATATCCTGAGTGGGCATTGAACTATGGAATATCCTGAGTGGGAATTGAGCCATGGAATGTCCTGAGTGGGAACTGAACCATGGAATATCTGAGTGGGAATTGAACCATGGAAAATCCTGAGTGGGAATTGAGCCATGGAATACCCTGAGTGGGAATTGAACAATGGAATATCCTGAGTGGGAATTGTACCATGGAATATCCTGAGTGGGAATTGAATCATGGAATACCCTGAGTGGGAATTGAACCATGGAATATCCTGAGTGGGAACTGAACCATGGAATATCCTGAGTGGGAACTGAATCATGGAATATCCTGAGTGGGAATTGAACCATGGAATATCCTGGGAGTGGGATAAACCCCCAGGGACCCCCCAGTTCCAGCCCTGCCCTGCCCAGACCCCACCAGCCCCACCCTGTCCATCCCTGGCAGCGCTGCCCAAAGGCTCCTGCAGCTCTGGCAGCCTCGGGGCCGTGCCCATTCCCTGGGCAGTGCCAGCACCTCTGGGGAAGAACCTTTCCCTAAAATCCACCCTAAATCCCTCCTGGCCCAGCCCCAGCTGCTCCCTGGTGCTGTCCCTGTGCCATGATTTGGAGGCCTTTTCCCACCTAACAGCTTCTGTGACACTTCTGAACAGCAGAGGATTGTTATTAATGATGATCTCCCCCAGACATTTCCCTTCAGAGGAGTCTCAGTGCACTTGATCCCTTTTTCTCCCAATATTCCCTTATTTCCCTGCATCATCTGCAAGAAACAAACTTTGCACTTTGCATGCCTTGCCCTGTCCAGGCTGGGTTTTCTTTCTAACTGAGGAAACCCTTTGGAATTGCTTCTTTCTTGTGGAACAGCTCTTCCATCTTTTGGGGTCTCTGACTGCTGAGTGGGACAACCCTTGGGGATTTTGGTTTCCTGAGAGATCCCGAGGCTTCATTTAGTGTTGGGTCACCTCTTGTGACACTCTGGGTTTGTCTGAGCCCATCTTTTCCCACAGGATCCCAGAACAGCTGATCTGCTGCAGCCTTGGCTGTGCCCACAGGGATCCTGACAGGCTGCCCCAAAATATCCAGATCTGCCAAAAACCTGTCTGAATATTCCAGTAACTCCAGGGCTGAAGGTCAGAGAGCACAGCAGGGTGCACTGTCCTCAATTCCTGCTGGAAAGGGACAACAGGGATGATCCTTTGTGGCTAAAGTAAAATCCCAGAGTCACAGAATCCCAGAATCAATGAGAGACTTCCATGGTCACCCAGCATCACCCAAACCCTGTCCCCAAGGGCCACATCAGGCTCCTCCTGAACCCTCCCAGTGACTCCAGACCTCCCTGGGCAGCTCATCCCAAGGCCTGACCACTCTGTGAGGGGAAAATTGTTTGTAATCCCTAATCTGACCCTCTCCTGGTGCAATTTGAGGCCCTTTCCTCTCATCCTTTCCCTTAGTGTGGGAATCTGAAATGCAAGGAACTTTCTGAACTAAATAAAAATATAAGTAGTTATAAAAGTAAACAAAGAGATTAAAATACAATACTATAGGTTTGTGTCATAACATGATTAACTAAAAAACCTTACACTGTAATATGTCCATAAGACAAAATATTTGAAGATTAAGTAAATATATATATATATATATATATCCTTATGAACGGTATTTCATCAATCAATAATTCCTTAAAAAGTCTTATAACTAAAAGCCTTATAACCTTCTAAACCATATTATAACAATGTAAGCCATACTATAAAAATATCACCCTTCCTACCCATGTTAAAAAAAAAATAAATAAACCACATCATCAGAAGCATCTCAAGAATCCCATCTCTAACTTATTCAAAACAACCCACAACTAAATTATCACACTTAGGACATGACAGAACCCTCCTGCCAGGAAGGGGTGGAGAGCAAGGAGGTGCTGCCAAGGAAAGCTGTGCTGCCTGAGCCCAGGGATGGAGAAATCCCAGGCAGGAGGAGGCTGCAGTGCCCAGCCTTGTTGCTATGGTTTTATGTGGTGCTGTTGCAAAAGCTCCAGAGGATAAATGAGGGTGTTGGCAGCACAGAGCCTCGAGCTGGAAAAGCAAACATGGATATTTCTGCCTGGGAAGAGCAGATGTGACCCCTGGAATGCTCTTCAGGTGCATTTCATTCAGGTGTGTGTCCCTCAGAGGGGAAGAGAAACTTGAGGGGCCCACACTGATCCCTCTGAAATGTTGGGGAGTTCTCCATTCTTTCAGCTGTAGTGAAAATATTGGTGCTGCAGCTGAACTGCAACAGCCTGTGGGGGTCTGAGGGCAACATCTGCCCAAAAATCATGGAAGGGAAAGTAAATGAGTGACAGCAGCAATGGCTTGAGGTTTTTGGGGGTTTTGGTTTGTTTAATTGGTTGGTTTGGGTTTTTTTCCAATGGTTTGTGTTGGAAGGGATCTTGAAGATCATCCAGTGCCACCCCTGCCATGGCAGGAACACCTCCCACTGTGCCAGGCTGCTCCAGCCCCAGTGTCCAGCCTGGCCTTGGGCACTGCCAGGGAT